TCTCTCTCTCTCTCTCTCTTTCTCTCTCTCTCACACACACACACACACACACACGCACACACACACATACACATACACACACACACGCGCGCGCGCGCTGCGCGCACACAAATTAATGCTTGCCCTGAAGAGACGTTGCCTCTCGCTTTTCTGAGTGTTCACCCAATGCCTTTCAACTCTCAAGTACATAATGTGAGACAGGATCATGGATAAGCTCACACTCCCAACACCCAGTTCTCCCATTCCAATACAAGGTACCCAACAAAGAAAAGAGGGCGCATTTAAAAGGCAATAACTTGGTCATCCATGTTGTTGGGGAGGCCTTGTTCCAGTAAGATGGGGGCCACACCCAACGCGTCAAGAGTGGCTCTTGCTTGGTTGCAAGAAAGGTTTCGAAAAATGCCACAGAAACCTAAAGCTTACAAATAAATGGTCACCCGATTCCAACTATTGGGACCCCCGCAGTTATTTCCTATGGGTTTTTTTTGTTTTTGTTGTTGTTGTTGTTGTTGTTGTTGTCGTTTTGTTATATTATTAATTTGTCAATGAGTCTACAGAAACAATCGACAAACAATCGAACAGTTCAGACTGAATTTGGAGCAGGTCTAAAGAATCGACAGAGAAACAAGCCACAGGGTGCTCTGGTGTGCTTTGCTCATTCTTTTCTAGAAAAGAAATCTGTCGTCTCCATCTCCCCTTCCTCTTTTTGTGTGTTTGTAACTCTCCTGTAACACCTCTTCGGCACTTATGTGACCTTATTGTGCTGCAAGTGCCGTAAAAATCTTACTAAAACTAAAAACACTCAAATTAGTTGAAATTATGTTAAAAACGTTATATTTTTTAATATGTACAACGGTTTTCCATTTTATTGACAAATGTGACGTCCCCCTCTTTGAATTTTATTTGTTCGAAGTTCTGTTGAAAGTGGCCCAACGAAGACCGAGTTACCACTTTTTAAATGGGTCCTCTTTTTCTAGACACCCAGAATGTAATATGATATTAATGTTCAGGGCCTGGCTTTTGAAGAGGTTGGCTTATGGGTGAAAGTAATTATCGCCTGTGTTAAAAAATAAGTTAATAGCGCTATCTACCCCGAATAACGTTACGACAACCCATAAGTGGCCCCACTGTGAGTGGAAGCCGTGGATGTCACTATCAGTACATGTAGTAGGTCAAGTAAGTTCCGAATGGCGGGTTCACCAAGTGTACTTTTACAGGCTAAGGCCCCCAACGATCTGTTTCCGAGGAAGGAAGAAAGGAATTGATTCTTTTTTTTTACACAGGCTGCAGTAGAGCTTGTCTGGTCATGGGTTTTTATAAAGCTATGAAAAGTACGACAATAGTTCAACGGCGTAGCTTAACAGTGGGGACGCAGTGGATAGATATTGATGTTTGCAGTGCTGGGCAAGCTGCAGAATGTAGACTGAATATGAAAAGGTAAATATTTATACTGTCTAACCTGTTCGAACAACCACGTGTCCAAGACACTCACTTGTACAAACGACCCCTTGTTTTTAGGTCTTTCCCAAAGGGGCGACATTAACATGTTCTTATGCACAGTAGAATTGTAAATGGGCTGATTTATCAATGGCATGCTCATACTGTGCCGGAACAACATAGGGTGAACTTCTGCCTTTCCTTTCCTCATCCTTACTATCGTCATATTCCTCTACTTCTTTTGAATGTTTGTCACTCTCTTGTTAACTGTTATTTCCGGGGTGCCTTTATAATCAAAGCAGACTTTGTGCTGTTGACGCTACAAGGGTGGTGAGCATAGTAAGCTTGATTCCCCGTTAGGGCTTTTCTGTTGATTTCACTCCTTGGCGTTCATATGACCTTATATGCAGTTGCGAACGCCGTTAAAATCTTACTTTTTAAAAACCCGACCACAATACCTCTCACTTGTCCTTTATATCCCCCCCCCCCCCTGTATTACGACTTTGTCCAGAACGTCCGCCTATCTAAACAAGCCCTTTTCACTTCGACAATGGTTCTCCATCTTGGACAATTTGGACTGTACGTGAGAGGGAGTTGTGTTCCTGCTCTCGGGTCGACCAATGGGACTTTCATCTGACCAGTAACTAGGTGTATTAACCACCCAACCAACCCCCAGATTCTGACCAACCGACTTTCTACGACAAGCGCCGAGGTAACAACAACACAGCCATTTTCGGCATTCCAAACGCGCTGAAACATCCCCAAGCACGGCGATAATGCCACAGCCCGTGTGCTGGCCAAATTCTGTATTGATGGCGTGTTTGTCGATCTGTGTTACCGAGAAGACTTGGCCGCGGAAATGGAGGCAAAGTCATCGTGTTCCACCTCCGAGACCCACGGTGACATGGTGCGCTCTCGTACTTTTTCCGTCTCCTCCATAAATTAATAAGGGCTGCAAGTATGACCTGGGTCTGATGAGCATAATATGCGCGGTAATGTGCTAATGACACGGCCCCCACAAAGAGAATGTTCCCGCACACATAGATCTAATTATATTTATCGCTTCGGGACACTCACCTACCACCCAATTTC